AGGTAGTAGAGGTACTAGTAGTAGTAGTAGTAGTAGTAGCAGTAGAAGTAGTAGTAGTAGTAGTAGTAGTAGTACTAGTAGTAGTACTAGTAGTAGTACTAGTAGTAGTAGTAGTAGTAGTAGTAGTAGGCCAAGAAATATCAGTCGGAGTAAGAACAAGAGCAAGAGTAGGAGCAGGAGCAGGTGCAGGAGCACAAATAATGAGAGGAAGACTAAGAGAGCGAGAGCAAGACCAAGCAAGAGGAGGAAGAAGAATCAGAGTCGGAGTCAGTCAAGAAAGGAGGAGCAAGATTAAGAGTTGTTTTTGTTGCTGTTTGTCACTGCATTGTCGTTGCTGCAGCAGTAGGCCCAGTAGGGGCAGCCAAGAGGCCATCGCTCGGACGTCCACCGAAGAAAATCGTGTTTTCACCATGGCTTACCAAGGGCGAGGGGAGGCACATGTGAGCCTCACTTCTTCGCATCTAGTACAGCCAGAACGGTATGTCAGGTCCGTCAGGTCCGCTCAAACTATGCAGTGAGTGACTGAGTGCATCAGATGCTTTGAGTTTTGCAACATGGAGCTGCTTGAGTAAGCCATTTTCCTGCCCTGTGCTGGCTATATTCTTGCCAGGAGCGCCTCCTCTGTCGGAGAACGGTTGTCGCTGCGGCAGACAAATGAAGTTCAAGCACAAGGAACTGGAATCTGCGAAAGTCACAGTTGCAGGTCTGTCTAGGGCCTCGCTCGAAGGCTTCTGCAGCAGTACGCCACAGAAGCGCAGCGTCGAATAGACCTGTGGAGGATCGTACAACATCCCTGCGATTCCTGTGCCATGAAAGCGGTCCTCTTCTGCCGTGCGCTCCATATCCACTTTCAGGAGCTGATGGAGTTTCTCCACGATCCTCCTCAGATCCGGCATGATGCCTTGCACCTTGAACCTTATCCTTGCCAAGTCCTCATGCACCGCAGCCGCCGCCGTGCACCACCTCGAATTTTCATCACGTCCTGACGGAGCTGCCCGCAGAAGAACTCACTTGCGGTGCAGAGCAATCTATCCATCTGCTTCCTTCTCGGAGGAAGCATCAAACAATAGGCAGGGTGGCACACTTTCGCAAAGCATCAATTAACTTTGCAAGGGATGAAGCACGTAGTATCCCAAAACAGCCACAGGGAGTCTGTTGGCATGACGAGGAAAACAGCAACCCTTCCATCCCTGATGCTACGCGAAGGCATCAAGCACAAATGGGCCGGGCTCCAAAGTAAAAAAAATACAAACCTCAAAACCCCAAACGAAGCGATATCATGAAAGCCCAGTTCTTGTCGGACAACACAATAATTTCCTCACAGAGCTGCTGCAGTAGGACACACCACCCGTGTGCACCGCAAATGCTCTCTTCACTGGCCGATGTGGCAATCACCAAACTTTCATTCATCAAGGACTACCAGCAGACATGATGAATACTACTGTGACTGCACATCTGTAGCACAATGAGAGGCATAAGCCGGATAGCAGGGCAAGCGCCCTCAGGCGGCAGCTACCAATGCACGTTGCAACACCGATTCCTCACTCATCAAGATTTTACTAACTCAGATAACAAGTGTAGCACAACGGGAGGCATAAGCTGGGTAACATGCCAAACACTCTACCAGAAAAGGCCGATCGCGTGAGCTGATGAGCTTCTGGAAAATGCTACAGAGAAGCAAAGTCGCGAAAGCCTGCAATCAAGAGGATGGCCGTGAGCCCATCCCAAAGCACCGCAAAAGACCCTTGTGAAGCGAAACTTCGAAGCTTCGGAGCCAGACACCCCTACACACAACCCTTAAAGCCCCAAAGCTTGCGTGCCCAAGATGGGGTGAGCATCCTTGTAAGTCGCAAAATGCAACTCTCTGCCTAGAAGTTCTGGCCTGGTGCCCTGAAACCTACCTTAAGCTACCAGAACCTACTGTTTTGTAGGTTCTTCTTCTAAACCCTGATATGGAATTTATAGTCACCCTACCAAAAAAAGTAGGTTTCGGTAGTTCAAGGTACAACACGCCGCCGGCCTCGACCCATCGCGTCGCATCCTCGTCCTGCCGCTGCAGGCTGGTCGGACTGAACTCGACGGCTTCGGCTGCCGCTGTCATCGCGTGGACCTGCCGGGTCTAGGGTTTAGGTTTTAGGGCTTTAGGGTTTAGGGTTTCGGGTTTAGGGTTTAGGGTTTAGGGTGTAGGATTTAGGGTTTAGGGTGGGGTTTGGAATTGTTTTTGAACAGTTGACACTCTGCTCCCGAGTTGAAGATGCCTCGTCCAGTGCATCCCCGAGCTCCTGCCAAGAAGCCCGGCACAACTGTGCCGATATGACGCAGCAGTTGCAGCATCGCGGGTCCTTGCCATCTTCATCCTCTGCAGATTGCCTGCGGTGATGGAGGCTGGCACACAGAGCTCGGCGCGAAGCTGCGAAGAAGCTGAGCTTTCCACCCTTCTTCACCTGCAGGCGCTAGGCGCCACGAGGCACAGTACAACTGAAGGCTGACTCTTCCGCGGCCTTCGTACTCTTGGAGGTGGTTCTGGCCTACACACCAAGGCCAACGCATGTTGCATTAACCATGCTCCTGGCTTTTTTGCCTTTGGGTACTTCTTTTCTTCTTCTCTGTTCACAACGAAACTGGGCTGGGCGCATTCAGCTTTGACGGTGTCGAGGTCTCGAGCGAAAGTGCGCAAGGCTGCTGAAAGGCCCTGCACCTGCCAGTTGCAGGGGTCTGAGAAGTTGAAAGGCAGGCGAGAGAGATGGCAGCGTCAGGGCTGCGTGATGCCTGCATCTTGGCGATCCTCTCTGCCGGCTGAAGCCTTGATCACACAGTGATGGAGAGAGCTACAGTAGCCCCTTGGCCGATGCTCTGCGAGCTTGACTTGGTCTGAGCTGTCGACTCTCTCAGGAGAGCTTGTGCCGCATCAAGCTTGGGATTGGAGCGCAACAGCGAGGCACAAAGGAAGTGGAGGGACGAGATCTCTCCAACTTTGAAGTCCTTGAGGGCCATGAGCGAGCTTATGACAATGGCTTTCGCACCTTTCTTCGAGTCCCCGTGGTTGATGTAGTTGCCCAGCTGCAGTGCCAGCATGGTGACGCTCCGCAGCATGCCAGACTTCTGGATTGCAGAACACGCAGCTCGAATCTTGGCCAGAGCCCGCGCAGTGGACTTGAACTGCAGCCGTGCATTTCGAGCCACGCAAAGGACTCGGACCCTGGCCGAAGCCCGGGTCAGTAAGGCAAGTGGCATGACCATCTGCTCCACATCCCGCAGCTTTCTGCAGTCCTCCTCTGAGCTGTGCTCGCGTAGGTGCTTGGCCTCCTCCTGCGTGGGAATGACCTCCAGAATCTGCTCCAAATCATCTGTTCCTATCCTCTCGTTCTCCCACTCCAGCTTCTTCAGGACCAAGACCAAATCTTTGGTGGAGAGAGGCAGGCGCTTCAGAACGATGGCAATGTTTCGTGCTCGGTGATCGCTCAAGACCTTGGTCCCGATGTTCCGCTGCTGAGCCTTGCTGAGGACGCCAGAGGACCGCCGTTGCAGCTGGGAGCCCTTGGCCTGTTCTGCCTCCAGCATGCGAGTCAATGCCGTGAAATCAATCGCGGCTGAGCAGGTGTTTGACCTGCTTCTCGTCTCCTCGCTGAAGATGGTCCCTTCCGCATCTTGAATGTCCACCTGCTTCCAGTACAGCTTCTTGAGGAATGGTGCCTTGGTCTCCGCCTTCGGAACCGGATCCTTGCCGGGGGCCTTCGCAGGCCCCGCGCCTTTGGGAGGTGGGCCTTTTGGCGGAGCGCCGGGGCCCCCCTTGCCGCCTTTTGGGCCCTTGCCTTTTCCTAAGGACTTGCCCTTGCCAGGCGGAGGTGGGGGTCCGGCTTGGTCCCCTGCCTGTGCGTCTGCTTTGGGGAGAGCCGGAGGTGGAGGACCCTTTCCGAGCTTGCCTTTCCCCTTTCCTTTTGGTGGCAGAGGCGGGCCTCCTTTCTTGGTGGGCACCGGCGGGCTGTCCTGTGGCAGGTCCATGTCCTGATCGGCAGGGGACACAGAACCCGACAGGTCCGTTACCGGATGCACTGTCGTCATCGTCGAGGTCACCTCAGCACTCTCGGAGACCAGTGCATCTGTTTCGGAAACCTCGCTTGATGCCGGATCTTCACGGATCTCGTCCTCCCGCTCTGGTTCAGCCTGCAGTGATGTTACGGTGTGTTCAAGTCGTCGCATATCCTCCTGCATTTCTGCCACTTTACCCTCCATCAGCACCATCCGTTCCGGCATCGCCAGGGCTTCCGCATCCGGCTCGCTGAGGTCCAGGCATGGACGCAGAACCGGTTCGTCCCGTTCCCGCTGCTCCATGCCCAAGCCGCCTTCCAGGTGTCGAAGAGCCTTCTGAAGGTGCGAGACGCCCGCCGCGGCGCGCTGATACGACATAGCCTCCTCCCTGCTTGAGGGAGCCGAGCCGGAAGGAGGAGCTTCCTGCTGCGAAGCTTGGAGCTCTATGAGCTCTCTCCTTGGCGGCTCAAGGCCTGGCACCCCTACGGGGCCTTGGCCCCTTGGCGCCGAGCTACCCGAGCTCGCGGAGCTCGCCGAGCTCGGGCCCGGAAACATGGGCTCCTGGCTCCCCATCGCCAGCTGCTGGCTCGGAGCGACAAGCAGCGCAGGCTGCCCATCTCCAGGCTTCCTGCGCGGCAGAGAGGGATGTGCTCACAACCATCTCTGCGACGTGACAGTCCCCAGGTCTGCCGGTCCTCTGCAGCACGCTGCGAGCACGGTCCAACACCGCCTGAGCAGCCCAAAGATGGATGTTTCGCAATCAAAAACACAAGGGGTGCGAAGAAATCCGACAAAGAAGACATGAGAGGGTTCAGGCAAGAATGAGTAATGAGAAGCGAGTGATCAAAAGCAATTGGATCGCAGCGATGCACGGACGAATCGGAAGTAGGTGAGAAAATGACCCGAGAGAACCTGTGCGGTCGTAGAGGTCTTCGACGACAGCCTCGTCCTGCAGACATTGGCATGTCCCAAAAACCTCCGAAGAGGGACATTGCCATGCCTCTGACTGGCTTCCAAGGCTTGCTGATGCCTCGCGAGGGGATGGGACAAAGAGAGGCCGCAGGCTCCGCCGCTGAGCCGAGGGAGGGGCCCTCGAGATGCCACAGCTGCGCCGTAGGCTCGCGCTCCGACTCCGGCGCGGTCTGCGCCAGCCGCCACGCCAGGCCCACCGGGGTCGCAGGAGAGCACCAAGGGCCTCAACGGACTCGTGCCGAATGCACCGAAAGGAGCGGGAGGTTCGAACCCCTTCCAGGCCTGGAAGCTGCAGTCTGGCCAGGACTGCCCAGAGCTTTGCGAGCACGCTGCAGTACGGCCTGAAAAGAGTTGCAGCGGAAGTCGCCGTCCCTGCGTTCCGCCCGGGTCCCGGGCCTCTGCACGCGACCCTTGTGATCGCAGGGCACCCGCAGACCATGGCGCCTGCCATATGCAATGACATCATGTCCCTGTGGCTGTCAGCGCTGTTGACCTGTTGCTTGCCCCTGCGGTCAACTATCTCCACGACTCCACGCCTCGTTGGGCTTCACCGCTGTCGCGCAAACTTGCTTCATGCCTGCATCGAGCTATGCTGATGTTGCTTCAATGCCCTTGAACGGGTTTGGTAAACAAATAAACATGTGAAGGAAATGTTGTTTGTTTTAAGTGTGAGGAGGAGGTGGAGGAGGAGGAGGAGGAGGAGGAAAATGGCTCACAGGCGTTGCTGCGGCCGCCAACCCCCTTGCCCCCAAGCATCTCCGAGCAGCTCCGATTTCTTCATCGCCCGCGCGGGGTTCGAGAGGGCGAATAACTAATCGAGCCAAGTTGCACACATCCGAGAAAAGGCTGAAAGGACACCCCGAAAGCCCGAGTGAGGAAGATGCGTGACGAGTGCAACGAGCACGAGGGGCCGCTTAAAGGCGGAGAGGAGTAGCACCTTGGGACAGCTAGCAGCATCCCCCGTCACCTAGTGCGACGGCGTGATAAATAAAGACGGGTAAGAGTAGCAGAAGTCAGCGGTGCTGATCTGGCTGTATGGTAGACCAACCACCCCAGGATTCACTGAATGAGGTGCGGCACTTACTGCACGTGAGGGTCGAAACTACAACGGCACGGACGGTACCAATATTATCGTGGTTGGGACGACACGGCCGTACCTGCCTCACGAGCGCGCGTCTGGCCGAACTCACAGCACCGCCGTTAAGTGAAGTGGTTAACCACTGACAGAAGTATGACTGGTTGAATGTATAAGCTTGCCATTGTCCATCTGCCTGGCAGCATTCAGTATGTTGGAAGCATGGACATTTATTTGTCTGAAAAGAAACTGGTGCATGTAGACGGCACAAGCACACGTCACATAATTACCACACTCTTACACAAGTGTACTGAATGACACATAGGGTTTCGTGTCAGTCATTCAGCAAAGTTGGGTAAACACACTTAGCTGCAGCTGGCTTAGCAAGAGGGCCCAGCTTTTTTGCAGTTGGCAAAAAGGGCAGGGAGACCATGCTCCTTTTACAACAGGGCCAGGGATTGCAAGCACGCATTCATGTATTGCTCGCTGGCAGTTGCATGAGTCGCCAATCAAACCATCTATTTTTGCCTTGAGCTATTTCTGTTTCCCCGCAAAATGCGACGGACATGTCCCTGCAGAATGCCGCGGACCCCGATCTTTTTATCACGGAGAGATTCTCGGAATTGGCGACTCTGGTTCACAGTGTCTGGAGAACTTCGGCGTTCTTGTTCCGTTGGTCTCTGAGGAGGGTTTGCTGTCCTCTCATCTGTTGAATCACAGACTTGGACTTGTTGCGCGTGAGAATGCCCGGTGTGTACAACGCGTGGCATCCTGATGTCAGTGCTCTCATGCAGAAATCGGCAGGCGGTGACCAACTGATGCCGTGTGTGAGCAAAATCATGCGCTTTCCCAATTCCTCCGAGCGACCTCATGGGCGAAAGCTTCTGAACTATTTCGAAAGGAAGGTCGGTGTCGGGGAATTTCAGATGCTCGGCATCTCAGGCCCTCCGCATACATGCATGAGGTTTGCCGGCATGCACCATCAGCATCTCTCTCGTGCCGTGCTGCTGTGCGGACGCATAAATTTTGGCATAAATAAAAATGCACGGGATCGGGAACAACCTATATAAAGTCACAGACACCATTGAGTTCACCATGATGGAAGAAGGTTTGTTTCCTTAAACCCTGAGCTCGCAGGAATACAAGTTCCGGACACAGCCTTCCCTGACGAAGGCGAAGACATCTTGGACCAACTTCCTGCAGAACTGGTCATGCCCTCGTACCGGAGGCAGCCCCTCCATCCCTCGAAGGTGTGGTGGCTGACTTCCAGCTCGGCCGACGTGTGAGAGAAGTGATCGTGGCGTCATTGGCACTGTTGTGGCTGAACTGCAGATCCACAGTGATGTGCTGTGGGCAACAACTGCTTCAACTGGATCAACACGGCCATGACAGAGAAGGCAGTCTTGCACCGAAGGTGCATGAACGGCGAGGCACTCGCAGCCGCTATAGCCCTGTCAGCGAGCAAAATGCCCTGCTGTGCGAGACATGACCCTGTATACCATAATGACCCCTGATACCCGAAACCGCAGCAGCACTTTCAACACAACCAGTGCCCTTGAATTCGCAGACATGCCTTGGGTTCCAAATTCGCACCTCTTTGTTACAGTGCTGCCGAGCATGTTTGTCGCTCATGATCCAAAGCCAAAGTTTCTCGGGCAGAGCCCACAGTTTGAAACAGCACACACAGGCAAAAACTACCATGTTCCTTGATGTTTACTGCCAATGCAGGTCAATACAACCGATAAGTTCCACTTTCCCAGCAACTCCACCATGCATCTGCTAAACAGTAGCCCGCTTGCGAGCAGTCTCTCATCGCCCCAATCCCAACCTGTGTCAGCGCATCCACTCTGAGGTGGGCGTGGATGTATGGCATCTGCCAGGGCACTGCTTGACTCTCAGAGCTCTGCTTCCAAAAAACCACGCATTCGAGATGCATAGATACCATCTGGAAGTCTCCGCAACCGGCCTGTGTTGAGAGGTGGGAGCCGAAAGTCATGAGACTCTGGGAGCTTTGCTGCCTGGGTGCACGGGAACTGCCGGTCACTGAGCAGCTGCAGAGTGAGCCGGACCATTCAAGGTTGACGCTGCCCACGCGATGGCGAAGCAAAGAGAGAGGATTACGATCAGGATTAAAATCAGCAAGAGGAGAAATGAGCGCGATGACATGCAGGTGTTGAACTTCGAGGAAGAGGAGGACGACGAGATCTGAGCCCTCAGCCAAATTCCCAAGCTCAACATCAGGAATCGAGTTCTCGCCTGGGAAGACAAAGCCACAGCCGCTGCATTGGTCGTTGCTTTGCGTAGGATTCGAGTGACCGGCAAAGGTCCAGGCCCTTGGCTCAGTTTACATCAGACAGCAAAACATGAAGCGCGAAGGCATCCAAGCTCTGTACCCGCAGCCACTCAAGGCTTTCAATCAAAGATCTGCAGCCTTTGTATGCCACTGGCAAGGTGGTGGGAGCATGCTGGTTTGTCTTGTGAAAGACTTGGACGATATTGGCAGCTTCTCTGCATTGAGCGGAAGCGCACACAGACTGGAATGACGACTCAGTCTACTGAAAGCTCACTACCAGCGAGGCTGAGGATGTGGCCGGCAGCGCCACAGCCCACACCACTCAGCTCCAGGACCTCACACACTGCCAAGGGACACCTCCGAACTCACAAGGACGCCGAGACAGCCGCTGCTGCAGATCGTCTTCTTCGAACCGCATCTGCCACGAGCGTCACACCCTCGTCGCCCAACCTCAGAGAATCAGACAAGCAAGGTGGCTGCGAGTGTTTGAAGGTGAGCTCCCCTGTCCCTGTGCCGTCGACGGGTTCTCGGACAGTGCAAGCCGGTACCTAAGCTGCAACTCACGCTTACGTCCCAACTTCACAACAGATGTGAATTTCTTGGGCTATTTCTTGCTTGCAGACCAGGATGCGGTGAACTTGCATCAGAAGCGTTCTGCGGCAGGAAGCTCAGGGCCAGTGCCTCGAAGAAGGCGTGGCCACCGGAAACTGCTCATGCAGACACTGAAGAAGGCCAGAGGACCTGTGCTCCAGCCGGGCCAATGTTGTTGGAGGACAGCCGAAGGGACCTGCAAAGAAACATGTCGTGAGGTGACACCTTCAGCTTTGACAGGTGCGGATTAACGGGCCTCAGCATATGACCTCCGAGGCTCTCTCGCATCCAGGTCAAGCACTCTGCCAACGCCACCTTTGTGTCCAGGTTCGGAGCAGACGAAAATTCCGAGGGACGGCCCTTAGCCGCAGACCGCGGCTGTGTCTGTCAAGCAATTGCCAGACAAATCCTCGATGCGAAAATGGGAGCTCCCCAAGTCAGCAAACCTTCCCCGCAGTGAGGCAGGCACCATGTACTGAATTCCGCATCCTCAGTCGGCTCGATGAGTGTGCTCGATGCGTACATTGCATGAGGTCTCGGCCGCCAGGTGCCAGATTCGCCGACGATCTGGCAAACCTGAGACTGAGACAGGCACGGGAACTCAACCCTGCGTTCTTAGCCGCTGCAACACTCCCGCACAGGCTTGAGGTGCCGGCTGAACTGATGTACTAAGCAATGATGCTACAAACCTGCAAGTGTTCAAGCATCTTCGTCCGAATTCAAGTGTTTTCAAGTGTTTTCATCTGCTATGTTCTGCACTGGCGTCATGTCGACAGCTCAGACCTGCTGAAGGCTTGATCGCCGAGTTGTCGCCCCGCTGCATCGACCTCGGCTTGGGGAGATTTGGGAGGTCTTGGTCTTAGCCCTTGGCTGTCGGCTTCAAGAGGGGCTCAATACATCCCCACTGTCTGGCATGCAGCCTGTAACATTGATGCTGGCCCTGCTGCATCTTATCACTGCTTTTGAGCTGATTGTTGCCAACCCTGTGCTCTCGTCGCTTCTTCTCTTCAAGCCACGCAAACTTTCCTACAAGCCCCCCCCCCCCCCCCCC